TATTATAAAAAAAATAAAATTATTTGATAAATTATACTAGACCTTCAAAGTTACTTTGTAATTATCTTAAAGAATCTGTTTAACCGTTAATATGCATAAATAATTTATAAAGAAATCGAATAAATTAATGTGTATTTTAATAAACTAAAATTTGAAATCATAGTCTAATTATAATTAACACACAATTATTTGGAGCTATGGATAGATATAAAAATGAAATTCCCCAAAAGTTTAAAAATATATTTTGTACTGTAAACATGTGAATGGTTTGTTGTATTAAATTTCTTCTGCAAAGTGTAAGACAAATGTGGGCATTTATTGCTCTTGGTAACACATTATTAGAATTTTAAGTCCTTTCATCAAATTGAGTGGTTCAAATTTAAATAGGTACAAAAACCATAGTACTAATTATAATAATTCTGTTCATAATTTAGAATGATTTTCTTTTAAAAAACTTTAGTGTCATTTGTATCATGTTTTTTTTCTTCTTTTTTTTCATGATGACATTTTATTTATTTATTTTTCTAGCTTTAGGAACAGCTAAGCTATCATTTCATTTTTACACCCTCTTTTTCTCTAAGTTAAAAAATTGAAATTAAACAATAATTTATGAGGGAAAGTATTATTAAGTTGCTAACTTGCTATACATGAACTTCTAAAGAAGAGATATTGCATAATGCTGAATCATCAAATTCTTAATAATGAAGTGTGAGAGGTCGGTTATAACATATTTCTGATTATAGTAGAAGTGGGTCGAAATAAAATCGGACGGAGGCGATTGAATATTATATGACGTATCTTAATTTATTAAGGACACGATTATGATAGGAAGGTAGGAAAGTCGAGAATTTTTTGTAGAAAGATAGAAGATAGTTGAGTGTTATCGTATTTTCACGAGGGAAAATCAGAGCTCCTCTCACTATAACAGAATATATATATGCACATTAATAAAGAGTGTTAAAGTTTTACCAACATCAGCTAATTGTCATTAATCCAATGTCGTTATAGGTTTTAGCAACATTCATAAAAAGTGCTAAAAATGTAATTGTGACTAGAGTAATTGTCGCTAAAATAGTATGTTTAATATTATCGTTAATTGTTGCTTAAGATCATTTTCATGGTATCGTCTTCTCTCTTTTGCGTAGTTACTAGTGCATTAGTTAGTTTCACGCAATATTTTTTTTTATCCGTTGCGTTATATTTTTTTGTGCATCTTGTTATTATTATTTTCTTTTAATCTTATTTTAATTACATTTTTCTCGACTCGAAAATTTATCAAAAATAACTCCCGTAATAATGAGAAAAAAATGTGTGGTGGTCTATCAATTGATTTGTGTACTAGAAAGAAAAGAAACATATGCATGTTTGTTGCTACTTAAAAAAGAAAACTAATTAGGTGGAGGGAGGAGGATGATATCATTATTAAACATTTTTTGCTGTTTAAATGTCAAAATGCTAATGTGGAGGTTTGTCCCAAATATAATGATTATTCAACAATATTTTGACCAATTTATAATATCATGCTGATCTCACCATGAAGTTATTCTTGTCTACTGACTCTATTATATTCCATAAAAAAGTAAAAAGGTTTTTTTTTGAAAAAAAAGAAAGAGTAAATTGCCACCAAAAAGAATGTGACAACACATATATATTGCTACTCAATATTCATTTAAGTAAAGTTTAAAAAGAGGAAAATATATACGTGTATCGTAATCTTATTCTCTCATCACCAAAATTAACATGTATGTACATACGGGGATAATAATAACTAAAATCCAAATTATTGTTTAAGAGAACTGAATTAAGGAGATTCAAAAAGATTACATGAATAGTTTTGATGAAGTTTCTAGTCACGTCAGATTAAAGTCTCAAAAATATTTTTTCAAAAAATGATTTTATATTAAGAGCTTGAATTTAACTCTTTTAACTTTAAATTTGGTGTGTAGAAAAATAAAAAAGAGAGTCAATGATATGACATGAAATGTGTGTTTATATATATAGAAAGTTGGACAAGGTATATTAATTTTGACAAATTTTTCTCTTAATAGGTTAGGGTCCAGTAATAAAAACAAAACGCGATCACGCGGATTAGACACATATCACGAATTTAAAAATTTTAAATTAAAAATATATTTTTTTCTTTATTCTATTTCGATATACTTGCACTGACATTTCAATTAACTTTTATTTCGTGTCGATATACTTCCATCGAGATCTCGATTAATTTAAATTCTCTATATAAGAATTTATTGAAGGTGAGAAAACACTTTCTACTAGAAATTTTCTTCATATTCATAATTCATACTTTTCTAATCATCCCATCATAACGCTCGAAAACAAATAATTTAATTTACTGTCCCATGTAGTAAAGCAGCACATACAACCTAGCTATGAGGTTACACATCACTGCATGGATCGATACGTACAACATCTGTCTACAACAAATGAGATAAATGAGTTTTTTTTCATTTTCACAAGAAAAAGATCAAGAGGAAACAAACACTTTAGAAAAACAATATATATATAACTTTATAGAACTCCACTTAAGAGTAGTTGTTTTCTACTCAATTTGTTTTTGGTTTTATACATTTGTCACATCCTTTTCTTCTAATATACTATATATTATATACCCTTGGCTCTGATTCCCACCACTTTAATTTAACCTTTTGTGAGAGAAAGACAATTCTTAAATTCCATACAAAACACTAGGGGAGATGAGAGGGTGTTCATCTAATTTTTTTATTATAAAAATTATATTTTATATATAAGGTATGTAAATATTTTTATTTTTTACTTACATATAGATTTTAAATTTCTTCTCACAAGATTAGATGTTAATTCAATGGTCTAGGAGGATTTGAAATTCAATTTTGAGGTAATTCCAAATTTAAATCTCAGACATTTTGCCATCGACACACATTGTATAGTTTATGAAAGGTTCGTAAATGATACTCTTGAGTACTTTCAATTTATTTTTATTAAATTAATTTGACGTGACATTTAAGAAAATAAATAAGATTTTTACATTTCAATATCTTAAATTAAATTATACGAAAATGTTTTATATGATCTTAAATATGTCATCTAAAGATTGCAACTAAATAATTATCGAAAAAACAAAAAGAACTACATTATGTAGATGAATTGAAAGGTAATATAAACTGAACCACCTTGATTAAAAAGTGTTTTATTTTAAATATACAATTTTTTAATGTTAATTTTGATTTAATCAAAACTTCAACAACACTTAAGGAAAAATAATAAAAATAAATATAAAACAAACAAATTAAACGCAGGGGTACACTTAGATAACCTTTTCACATATTTGTATGTGAAAATAGTTTCATTAAAAAATTGAGCAACTTCAAATTCTATTAAAAAAATTTCCCAAGAACTGATATTTCCCCTTAGCTACTCTGAGAAAGGCAATAAATAGCCAGTCATTAATGTCCTGAAGAAACTATGAAAATCAGAAGAAATTAGTCAAAATAGAAGACTCTTTTTTGTACTTATTTTTTAGAAAAAAAAAAATCAAATGTATCATCAAATTTTAAGAAAAGGTTTATGTATGTCATTTATTAAAAATTTAGCTTATTCATATCATTATTTGTTAGTTAAAAATAACATATATGAATCAAATTTATAACGGATGACGTACATAAATAAATATTTTTTTAAAGTTTGATGATATATTTTTATTTTTTTTTCTTTTATAATAATTATAGCGTACGAGCCAATTCATAGCCTTGTCGATCAGAGCTTGGATAGATAAAAAGACATATATAACGTAGTAACTTGTTTTTATTGAGTCTTGGATTGATACCTCATAATTCTCAAACCTAAATCATTGATCAATATGTTACATCCTAAATCATTGATTGGAGTCTTGAATTCTTTTTTTTAATGAAAATTGTTGGCAGCGATTTTATTGAATTTTTTTTTTTTAAAAATGAAACGTTCCTACTGGAGCGATTTGTTACTTTTCAAAATAAAATATTTAAAAAGATTGATCGCTGTCTAGGCAACGATTTTAATTTTATTTTTGAAAAAAATCATATTTTACAAAATTGCTGCAGTTGCTTCGATTTTACTTTTTTCGGCGGAGAAAATCACTGTTGTTCCAGCGATTTGACCGTTTGGGTTAATATAAAATTTTATATACCATTTTGAAATTTTTATTAATATTTTATACCCTTTAGACTCCGAACTCGACATATATATGCCTGGTGAAATTTATAACCCCAAAGAGCTGACAATAATATTATGTTACAATATATTGTCTTGAGGTCACACAACATGTTGCAGTGCATAAAAAGCAAAATTTAATTTATTAGTGTCCTCCATCTTTACATTATATACTATTGATATAATTCTATAATATTCTAAAATTTTATAATGTATAATTAATTAACCTTCTATATTCTCTTTTGGTTCATCGATAATCTAGAGATGTATACATACATTTATAGTACAAAATGATTTTTATGTGAAAATTGAAAGGTAATATAGACATTACAAAGTCTTCAATATAGAGTGTAAAAATTACAATGGAATGTGCCAAAAGATCGAGATGATTGACTCGACTCTATTGTAGAATTCGGACCTAACTATTGAATCAGAGGCGCTGGGAATATATTTATCTTTAAATACTACGATATTTGATTCTATATCCAGAAATCAATCTTCTTTCCTCTGAGTTATAGTCGAGACTTAAAATGTATAAAAGAATGGAGAAAATCCATTGCACAAAAAGTGATTAAAATACAAGTAGATTAAAGATAGTAGAATGAATCTAAATACAAACAATTACACAATAATTTGAGTATACTATATCTCACGAATCTAAATACAAACAATTACACAATAATTTGGGTATAGTCTATCTCACTCGTGAGATTACGCTAAAATTACATATTAATAACAACAAAAAAAAATCATTGTAGTTTCATAATCGGGTTTGGAGAAGGTAGGAGCATCACTGTCGGTGGAGAAATGGCCAAAAATATTTGGATCATTTCTCGATTTGTGCGTGTTATCCTTGCGCAGGAGCCATGCTAATCTTCTCCGTATCGTTCCAATTTTATCGGATGTCCCCAACGGGACGAGCATTATTGCTTCGCTAGAGTTCTTATACTGCTGTATAGTTATATGTATGATCGATGTGGGAGAAACATAAAAGAAAATAAATTAAATAAAAGTTATTGCTTTAGTCCTACAAGTTTAGAAACTGAACATTTCTTCCAATTCTAAGAACGTTTATTTCGAAATCAGCCCCTTATTTCTTCGTTTATAACTAACTAGACACATGCGCCCGTGCGAATACAATATTTGTTATTTTTTGTTTTTCATTTATGTGACACAGATAAAATTTAGAGAGTCATTAATATGATTTTCATTTAAATATTTTAAGTTGTTAATCATTGTAATTTATAGTAAATATACGTGATTTCAAAATAACATATGTTATTTTCCTTGTCTAATATATGTAGCACAAATAGAATTTCAAATCAATATGTTGTTAATTATAGTACGGAACCATACATGTGAAATAGACATATTGACTATCACCTATGTGGTTAAGATGGAATAACTAAAATATGACTAAGAAATATAATTACGTAACACGAAATGTCAAAAACCTCAAATCAATAAACAAGCTGAAATTAAAACAAAAAAATGTGTAATTAAAAATAGAAATAAAAAATGACGTTGGCAAGATTTGAACCGCAGAATTTGAGGCTGGTATGTCAAGCCTAAACCAATAGGCCAAACAATTAATTACGTAAATAAGCACATAGCTGAAACAGGCATGTTGGGCAAATATTTGTTTATTTTTGTTCTTTTTTATGTGACACAGATAGAATTTAGAGAGTCAATTAAATTTTAATATGATTTTTAAATATTTTAAGTTGTTAATCATTGTAATTTATAGTACATTTACGTAATTTTAAAATAATATATGTTATTTTCCTTCTCCAATATATGTAGCACAAATAGACTTTCAAATCAATATATTGTTAATTATAATACGGAATATACATGGAAAATAGACATATTGACTACCTCCTATGTGGTTAAGATGGAATAACTAAAATATGATTAAGAAATATAATTACGTAACACGAAATGTCAAAAATCTCAAATCAATAAATAAGCTGAAATTAAAACTAAAAATGGGAAATAAAAAATGATGTTGGCAAGATTTGAACCACAGAACTTGAGGCTGGTATGTCAAGCTCAAACCAATAGGCCAAACAACTAATTACGTAAATAAGCACATAGCTGAAACAGACATGTTTTGCCCAATATTTGTTTATTTTTGTTCCCTTTTTATGAGACACAGATAAAATTTAGAGAGTCAATTAAATTTTAATATGATTTTAAAATATTTTAAGTTGTTAATCATTGCAATTTATAGCACATTTAGATAATTTTAAAATTATATATGTTACTTTCCTTGTCAATATATATAACACAAATAGAATTTCAAATTAATATGTTGTTAATTATAGTACGGAGTCATACATGTGAAATAAACATATTGACTGCCTCCTATGTGATTAAGATGGAATAATTAAAATATGACTAAGAAATGTAATTAAGTAACACGAAATGTCAAAAACCTCAAATCAATAAATAAGCTTAAATTAAAACTAAAAACGTGAAATTAAAAAAGAAATAAAAAATAATGTTGGCAATATTTGAACCGCAGAACTTGAGGCTGGTATGTCAAGCTTAGACCAATAGGCCAAACAACTAATTACGTAAATAAGCACATAGCTGAAATAGACATGTTAACCTTCAGTTGTTTGCTCATTGTTTAAGAGCCTGTTTGGCTCAGCTTAAAAGCTGGTCAAACTGATTTAAAGGCTGGTTTTTGACTTATTTAGCTGTTTGACAATCCTTAAAATAACTTATTTTAAGTTAAAAAAAAACTTATTTTAAGCCAAAAGTTATAAGTTGGGGTAGGGGTGTTTTTTTTTCCCCAGCTTATAAACTGTTTTAAGTTGACCACATTTTTACCGTTTTACCCTTAATATTTTTATACAATCTCCAAATTACCCACATAATCCTAACATCTCTTTCTTCTATTTTTTCCTTTTCACGTGTGGATGATAGACAATTACTATTACTAATGAATGAAAATAACATAAATCTTAAATCTTTCAAGTGATCTATTCAAATTATATATTATTAAAATGTAAAATAAGTTGCATATATAACTAAAATAAAAATTTATATTTCTCTTATAAATAATTTGTGATAATAAAGAAATATGTGAATGATAGACTATTATTATTACATGTGAATGAAACTAAAATAAAATCATAAATCGTTCTTTGATCTATTCAAATTATATATCTTTAAAATCTATAATAAGTTTATATTTCTCTTATAAATAATTTGTGATGAGAAAGAAATATGTGAATGATAGCAAAATATAATTATTTACGGCTGTAAAATATAAATTAATTAACTTTTATTATGTTAACAGCTTTTAAGGGTATCTCAGACATTTGATTTAAAAAGTTGTTTATCAGCACTTATTTGCCAAACACATCAACAACTTTTTTTTTTAACTTCAGTACTTTTATACAAACGCATAACTGCTTATTTCAAAAATAAGTTTCAGCACTTTCAAAAGTACTATTTTAAAACTGTTTTTATTAACCCCATTCAAACGGGCCCTAAGTAGTAGATATAACTTACAAATTTCCCTAACTTTTGAATGTATAAAAAATTTACCCACAAAAGTTTTAGTAATATTTAGTTATTTTATTTCTCCAAGAAGTATTTTTAGAAATATCAGTATTGATTACATCATACGTTATGTCTTTCTTTTATCCATAGATACCAACAAATTGAATCGATTCTACTGATCGATATATTAAATGGAATGGTAATTTTTGACATATTTAGTTAGATTACACTCTCCGTTTCGTTATCTTTCACTCTTCTTATATAGGCTGAGAAAGGCCGGATGGAGCTAAGTCGAAGATTATAATGGTTTTTTACAAAATTCACAATAAAATAAATAAAGATGTTAAATGATTCATCTCGATGTTTACATCAAACTATAATCGAGTTATCCTACGATAAAATCAATGTAAGAACACGTATTAAACATACTTAAGTAAATAAAAGTACATCATCTCTAACACCGTCATCCACTATTAAAGCCGTTAAGCAGAAAGAAAGAAGTCTCAGTAACACTAACACATAATCCTTATAAAAGCAACAAACTTTACTTCATAGGAGTTTAATTAATTTCAATTAATGGTATAACAGATACAAATATAAAAACAATTCCATGAGCAAAACAAAAACATAAAATTTTCTTTTAGGCAACCAAAGTAAAGCCTCTGTTCTTTCCCAAACATTTCCATTTTCCATCCTTATTTTTCTAATTTGTTTTCCTCTATAACTAGAGGGATGAGAAAATCGGGACACCGGGTAAAGTAGCTCCTGCATCTACTATGAACATGTTACCTGAAACATATTCCGAGGAATCGTGGATCAGGTAACGTACAACTGAAGTTAAAGCGGGATGTGATGTTCCATGTGTTCTCAACGGAATAGTTCTCAGTTCAATGTTTTTAATCCAGTCTTTTTGTATGAGACCCTCTGTTATCTCAGATTTGAAAAGTCCAGGTGATATTGAGTTCACTCTGATCTTGTATGGTCCCAATTCGAGGGCCAACACCTGTTACGTTTGAAGGATACAAGGATTGATCAGGCTGTGAATCAGAACGAGAAGAAAACAATACAGAGGTCTTATAAGTGTGCATTACGACACAGTTCAGAGTACATTCCGAAAGCAGAACATCTTGAACAATGCCACAAGTAATATCCATGAAGCATAAGCTATAAACAACTATAACAGAATCACAGCCAAATGACTGAAATGCGCGAGGCATCACATATATAAAGTTTAACCAGGTAGTAAGACAACTGGAAATGTTATCTGCTTAGATTTCTCATGGATGAGCTTAATGCCTCCACATTTACCATAACTAGATCCACATTTCTGGCTCGATCATAGTTCACAAGAGCGTTGCAAGACAACTATCTTAGAGTACTCACTATTCGTTAGTGCTACACTACTATAGTCTATTGTCACGAACCATTATGCACAACAGATATGTGAATCTACATTCGTACGTCTCCAGAGCATTTAAATGTATATATAAACCACATTGTATAAGAAAAACAAGACACTACCTTTGTAATGCTGTTGAGAGCTTCCTTTGAAGACGTATAAGCAAGACTACCTGGTAGTTGTCCACGATTAATACCAGCGATAGAAGAGATATTGATTATGGATCCTCCTTGATTAGCAGCGCGCATATGCATACAAACATATTTGGTCACCAACCATGCCCCTCTTAAGTTCGTTTTGTGGATCTTCTCCCATTCCTCCTCCGACAACTCCAGTGGAGAAAGCACACTGCCTATAAGATAAAACGAATAGATTAAACGTTACACAAAGCCAAATACTAAAACGTAACGAATCTCTTTCACATATTCTACATAATTCTAACCAATTAATATCTGTATAACTCTAACCAGCTAACAAACAACTGCTTATTAATCAAGATGGATAGCAAATTATTTATCATCACATACACATTGGAAAGCTAGGAATAAAACTTTTAACTAAGCAACAAATAGTAATATCCACCAAAAGATACAAATTGGCTTATTTTAGTATTATTATCTTTTGCTCGATAGCGTCTAATCTCTGGCCCATTTTCAAATAATTGGTGGAATTACTTTAAAGTAATATATTGCAAATCGTTTTCTTTTTCAAAAAGGTTTATGTACACAATTTTTTTTATAGAACAATGCAACTACTTTTTATTTTTTTAAGAAATGATTTCAAATGGAAATTATTCTTCCACAAACTATTCTTTCAGAAAAAAAATATCCAAAATTTGTACATGGAGTCCTTGATAATGACCTTTCATTGAAATTCAACTAAAATTTATGCAAAGAGTTGAAATTATATTATATTGGTCAAAATTACGTTTCATCACGAGTTTCATATTCACAATTGGTCATCACTCACTTTTTCGCGAGTTTCATATTCACAATTGGTCATC